GTGACTTTCTTGGCAATTTCGTCTGTTAAATCATACCCGACCGGGTGGGGGTTTCTACCCGGTCGGGGTTTACTCCTGGGCAGTCAAATTTCTTGTTTTCTTCTCTTCAAAGTCCTCCTTTCCAACACCACAAATCCTAACTATACTTTACAACTTATAAAAAAGACTAAAATACAATTACAACTGAAATCACATAAATGTTTACAAACTAAATAAAATGTCAAATAATCAACATAAATCAAACATAAAAACATATAATTATGCACTACTAATCAGTGTGCATCAATGCCAGACCAATACAACAAAAGAAAAGATACATGGCGGTCAAACGGAGAGATTTCATCAAGGTGGAGGTGACCACCCTGCTCAACATACACCACATTCGGCCGGTTATGCATGTGGAGTGGTTGTCTAACGTTGTCCTGGCCCCCAAGAGACCTACCTGCATGTGCTTCGATTATTCTGATCTCAATAAAGCTTGCCCAATGGATCCCTATTCGGTGCCGAGGATTAATCTCTTAGTGGATGAAACCGCAGGATGTGAGCTGCTCAGCTTCATGGATGCTTTCAGGGGGTATCATCACCAAGTGTTCATGCACCCGGAAGATGCCGAAAAAACTGCATTTGTCACATCGGACAAGGTATACTGTAATATTGTCATGCCGTTCGGCCTGAGTAATGCGATGACAACATTCCAGAGGATGATCGGGATATTATTCAAGGAAGTCCTTGGAAAGATCATGGAGGCTTACGTGGATGATATCCTGATCAAGAGAAAGAAGGAGAACCCTGTCCGGGATATGAAGAGGGTGTTCACCATCATGGAAGGAGCAAACATGAGGTTGAACCTGAAGAAGTGTGCCTTTGCCATTAGGGGGGGGGGGGGGGGGGGGATTCCTCAGTTATATGATGAGTGAACGGGGAACTGAGCCTAACCCGGAGAAGGTAAAGGCTATCATGGATATGGAGGCGCCCAGAAATTTGAAGGGCGTACAGAGGCTCACCGGGTGCCTAGCAGCTCTGAGCAGATTCATGTCCAAATTGGCAGACCGGACTATTCCCTTTTTTCAGATCATGAAGAAAGCCAGTCCGTTCGAGTGGACCCCTGAATGTCAAACAACATTTGAGGATTTCAAAGCATACCTCTCCTCACCGCTCGTCCTCACCAAGGCGGATCCCGGGGAGCAATTGTACATGTATTTGGCAATGGCCGATTTGGCAGTAAGCTCCGTTCTGTTGAAAGAAGAGGAACGCATTCAACGGCCTATATACTTTGTGAGCAAGGCGCTGAACGGCCTAGAAACGAGATACACGTTGATGGAGAAGACGATCCTCGCCTTGATTGCATCGATCAAGTGCTTGGCACCGTACTTACAAGCACATCCGGTGACGGTGTTCACAACGCAGCCCCTCGCCACCATCCTTAGAAACCCAATGGCAAGTGGGAGGATTACAAAGTGGTCCCTAATGATCGGGCAATACAATGTGGAGTTCAAGCCAAGGCCGACGATCAAAGGGCAAGCATTAGCAGACTTCATTGCCGAATGTACAACACGCATGGAGGATGGGAAACATGGCAGCAGTGATTTTGACAACTGGTGAGAGATGTACACCGATGGGGCAGCAAGTGCGAAGGGGTGTGGGGGTGTAGTCGTCACTTCCCCCGAGGGCTTTAAAGCTTATTACTCTATGAAGTTTGACTTCAAAGCCACCAACAACGAGGCTGGGTACGAGTTGCTTATCGCAGGCCTGAAATATGTGAAGGCCCTCGGCGCAGCTCGTCTGAAAATGCGGATGGATAACTAGTTGGTGGTCACCCAGATGAATGGTACGACTGAAACCCGGGAGGAGCGGATGAAGGCGTACAAAGAACTAGCAGAGGAGCAGAATGCACACTTTGAGCAGGTGATCATCGACCTGGTGCCGCGGGTAGAGAATGCCGAAGCTGACATCCTATCTAAGCTAGGCAATCCTCTATCCGAGGATCAGGTGACGCTCGTCCCATGGCACATCAGGGGCTTTGCCAGGCAGGAAGTACTCTCCCGCCCGACGACGGAGACCATCCAGGTGCATGCTGTTTCTTTTGCAGATCCGGGCTGGGTAAAGGAAGTAACCGATTATCTTAAAGACGGAACTCTGCCTCTTGATAAGGATGGACGAACCTCCGGGAGATCCCCATGGATAAGAAGACGAGCTATGAGTTTCGAACTCATTGGTGGGAAATTGTACAAGAAGACGTTCAGCAATCCATATCTCAGATGCTTACCACCAAACCTAGCTGCAGCGGTCATGGAGGAGATCCACGAGGGCATCTGCTCCAGCCACCAGGGACCCCGGACGTTAGCAAGAAAGATCATTCTGCAGGGGCACTACTGGCCGACCATCCAGCGAGATTGCTTCAACCACACCCAAAAGTGTGAAGTGTGCCAGCAGTACGCGCCCATGCCAGGGAGGCCGGCTAGCTTCTATACCCCAATGACTGTCGCCTTACCCTTTGCGAGATGGGGGATAGATTTGCTAGGGCCCCTACCCAGGACGACCGGTAGCAAGAAGTTTATAATTGTGGCTATTTATTATTTCACCAAATGGGTAGAAGTTGAACCCTTGAAGAATATCACAGAGTTCCAATGTCAATGTTTTGTACGGTTTCAAGGCCAAAGTCCCCACCGAGGTGCTTGGGCCCACACACCGTACGTTGCATTTCCACCCGGAACGAAATGAGGAAAATTTAAGGGTCGAGCTACATTTCATCGAGGAAAGAAGGGACCTAGCCGCACGACGCATGGAGGAATATCATTAGGCAACCGAGAGGTACTTTAACAAAGCGGCTAAAGTCAGGGAGATCAAGGTCGGAGATTTGGTGCTAAGGAAGCGAGAAAAGAGAAAGTCGCTCGAAGGTGGCAAGATGGGCAAGAACTGGGAAGGGCTGTACAGAGTCTACGAGAAACGGGCGGCAGCAGGGACGTTCCTCCTACAAACCATGGAAGGACGCCCCGCTGGCATATGGAACGTCGAGCACCTGAAGAAATTCTATCAGTGAGTCTCCCCCCCCCCAAAGGAGAGAACAAAGGGGAAGGAAAAGGAACAAGATGGGAAGAACAAGCTTGTACAGTGTAATGGTGATGAGGGATTAATGAGAATGAGCGGGCTTGGACGTTAGCCTAAAAAGTCCCGTGGTTTTCCCTTTCCCGGGTTTCCACGATAAAATCATTGTGTATATTTCGTATCATTAGTACACTACAAGCCCCTCAGAAGGAATGTTAGACCTCCGAGCTGCGACGAAAGAGAAATCCCCAAAGGGGAGAAGGTCGTTCCTCACCGACTACGTTGGCTACGCTTGGCTCAGGATCCAAGGACCGAGCTAAACGAACGGGTATGACGAGCAGATGATGGAACGAAGAAATAAAAGAATCCCAAGAAGGATCAAATAAAAGAATCCCAAGAAGGATCAAATAAAAGAATCCCAAGAAGGATCAGATAAAAGAATCCCAAGAAGGACCAAACAAGGAAGAAGAGAAGGTTGTTCGTCACTGACTACGTTGGCTGCGCTCGGCTCAGGATCCTAAGGACTAGGCTGAAAGGCGGGTACGACGAACGAATGATGGAACGAAAAAATAAAAGAATCTCAAGAAGGATCAAATAAAAGAATCCCAAGAAGGATCACACAAGTAAGAAGAGGAATCCCCAAAGGGGAAAAAGCAGTTCCTCACCAAATAGGCGAGGCTGTACCCAAGCTCAGGATCCTAAGGACCGGGCTGAAAGGCGGGTACGACGAACGGATGATGAAACGAAGAAATAAAATAATCCCAAGAAGGATCAAATAAAAGAATCCCAATAAGGATCAAATAAAATAATCCCAAGAAGGACCAAACAAGGAAGAAGAGAAGGTCGTTCGTCACTGACTACGTTGGATGCGCTCGGCTCAGGATCCTAAGGACCGAGCTGAAAGGCGGGTACGACGAACGGATGATGGAACGAAGAAATAAAAGAATCCCAAGAAGGATCAAATAAAAGAATCCCAAGAAGGATCAAATAAAAGAATCCCAAGAAGGATCGCACAAGCAATAAGAGGAATCCCCAAAGGGGAAAAAGCAGTTCCTCACCAAATAGGCGAGGCTGTACCCAAGCTCAGGACCCCAAGGATCGAGATGAAAGGCGGGTACGACAAACGGATGATGAAACGAAGAAATAAAGAACCCAAAGGAGGATCAAACAAAAGAATCCAAAGAAGGATCGAACAAAAGAATCCCAAGAAGGATCACACAAGAAAGAAGAGAAATCCCCAAAGGGGAGAAAGCAGTCCCTCAATAAAGAGGCGAGGCTGTACCCAAGCTCAGGACCCCAAAGGGTCAGGCTGAAAGGCGGGTACGACGAAGGATGGCAGACTAACAATCAAAGGGGGAAGAGTCGTTCCTCACCAAATCCGGAGATCTAACTCAAAGCTTAGGGTCCAAAGGACCGGGTTAAGGGGCGGATACAACGAACAGATAACGAGGGAAGGGAAACAACGTCAAAAAAGGAAAGAGGAGGAAGAAAAGGAAAGAGAAGAGAAGAAGGAAAAGAGAAGAGAAGAGGAAGAAGGAAGAAAGCAGAAAGCTCAAGAGAGGGAAGACGTTCATAGCAATAAGGTGCTACATTTGATTCATCGACTCTACCGGCCGGAAAGTACATATCATACATGAGTTCGGAGTGAAATCAGAAGTACAACATAGTGAAAGCAGTCATGTTCTATTGCCTAAATTAAGAAATGCACCCCGACCTCTACAAGTCTCACCAGGATCCGGCCAGAGGGATTGTTCATGGCAGGATGATTAGGGAGCAGTTAATCGAGCTCAGAAGGTCAACAAGGCCGCAGAACCTGACAAACTCCCTCAGCTACGAAGAAGGGCCGTCCTTCCCCTCCCCTTCCCCCTACGGTTTCTCCTGAAGAAGCTTCAAAGCTCTGTCATAAGCCTCGACGAACGAAGCGTTGAACCCGACAGCTTCAGGGTCGAAGGGGGCAGGGATGTAACGCTCAAGAGCCAAGAGATTGCCTGTCACAAGGCCAATCATCCCTTTGGCAAAAGAATCATCAGCAAGATCCTCAAGGAAAGCCCAACGTGTGGGGGTCTTCGATATCAGCTCGATGTCGTCCCGCAGCACATTAGAGCTCTTGGCCAGGTACTCCCCGAGGTTCTGGGCGAGGCGCCTCTTCGCACGGAAGTCCACAGCATCAACATAGGCCTTGGATATTTGAAACTCGACGGATCCAACACCCTTGATCTTAGAAACATCGGCCTCAAAAACAGGAACGGCCCCCTCCAGAGTTTGACAGTACCAAAGTTTAAAACAGTATTTTCCTTGTTATCTTGTTTGACCTAGGGGTGGGCACGGTCGCTTAACCGGCTTCTGGTTAACCAATTTTCGGTTAACCGTGACATCAGTTACTAAATTTTCAATACCGTTATCCATACCATAACATTGGTTAACTGTATATCGGTTAACCAAAAATTTGATCAACCATTAACGGTTAACCAATAAACCATAAAACCATGAAAGGAAAATATGAATTTGCCAATATTTTAGTTTGTTACTTTTATGTTTTGAACTTGGAATTTTTTAAATGACCTCCATAACAAACTATTGTGCGTACCATCAACAAAGCTTGTTCAATTTGGGTGTGTAATAAACTATTGATAGCTTGGCACTTTGACTTACTCTATATGCTTATTTATTTATTCATTTATTTATTTGGTAGAAACATAGGAGCATTAGCTCCTACCTGTTATTAACGATCAAACGAGGCTGGGAAATCCCAAGCAAGTCATACAGAATGTGAAACGATAATCTAGAATCAACATTAGAAATAGAATGAACACCAATAGGTAATCTATGGCCTAGGCTAGCTAAAAAGTCTGTTGCCCGGTTACCTTCCCGATAAATATGCTCAACTCTGACCGTCTAATTTCGATTTAAAAGCTCGTGAAATTGTGCAACCTTAGAGGAATGCTGGTGAGCACGCTCACCTTCTTCCATCAAAAGTTGAATAGCTGCATGTGAGTCCAACTGCACTCGTACCTGGCGATAGCCAAACTCCCAAGCAAAATGTAATCCTTGTACAACATCTCTCATTTCAGCCCTAGTGATCGAGCAAATACCTAGGTTCATCGAGTATGCTGCTAAGCAGCGGCCATCGGAATCACGGAACAACCCTCCTGCAGCTGCTCGTCTAGTCTGAGGAATAACTGACCTGTCAGAATTTAGAGCCACCCACGAGGGCGGCAGCGGCCAAGAGACATCGACCATCATTTTGGTTGGTAGACAGGTATGTGTTGATTGCTCAAGTATCAAAGCCTCTTCAATAGACTCAACAAAATGTCGAATACGCTGAGCAAGGGACTCAGGGGTGGTGCAGATATCAGTAAAAATAACCTCATTTCTGGCCTTCCAGAGAGACCAACAGGCAACCCCAAAAATAAGACTATTGCTCGATGCCTTCAGGTGGTGTGTGATCCAAGGAAGAAGTGGGGACTCCCAGTTCATTCGATCAGTAGCAAGATAGGCAAGATGCTCCCAAGTGGTAACCGCAAAAGGACACTCTCGTAGCACATGCAGAGCTGTTTCCTGGTGTTGGTTACAGCGTGAACAGACGCCCTCTGTTGCCATATGCCTACGTCTTCTTTCCTCATTAGTTAGTAGCCGGTTGTGTGCCACGAGCCAAAGGAAATGTCTAATATGATTGGGGCCACGCCAACGCCAAACCACTCTACAGTCAGGTTCTTCTTCTATGTTAATCTGTCCACCAAGTAGGGCATATGCTGACCGAATTCTGAAGCGGCCATCCTTTTCACAACCCCAAACAAGAACATATTCTCCACTACCAGGGTGAGGGAGGGACATACATGCCATATGCAACACCAGATTTTCTGAGATCAAGGAACGAAGAAAGGGGAAATCCCACTCACCAGAAGTTGTGCAGAATCGTGACACGGGGGGCAGAGAAGTCTGGTTCTGGAGTAAAAGGAAGAATATGGTCGATAAGTTTCTCGCCCGAGTCCAGCCAACGAGTAGTCTAGAAAGGTTTGTTGCGGCCATCTCGGATTCTATCCCTCATTTCAAGCTCCACTATAGGTAGGGCTGCCATGATCCCATGCCAAATCACTGATTTGGAAAAGGAATGTTGCGCCTGAAATCTTGTTTCTATCTCCCGATGATACTTAGTTTGAAGCACTTGCACCCACAATTCATCTAGTTTGGTAAGGAATTGAAAACCCAATTTTACCATATATGCCTGATTAAGCTGTCTAGTTGAGCGGAGCCCCAAACCACCCTGTTGTTTTGGTTGACAGATGGCATCCCAAGAGAGGAGGTGAGTTTTCCTCTCCTCCGCGGTGGTACCCCAAACAAAATTCCTGATTCTTTTATAAATTTCACTGCAAATATGACTAGGGAGCACCGAAGTTTTCATAACATAAGCAGGAATCACAAATAACACAGATTGGGCAAGAGTAACTCGTCCAGCAAGAGCAAGTGTTGAAGCTTTCCAACCAGCGAGCTTCTGGCCCATGCGATCCAGTATGGTCTGGTACGTACCATTAGTCACCCTTTCATGGAGTACTCGAACCCCCCAAATATCTACCCAAGTTTTGCGTAGTCGACATGCCAAGAGAGGAAGCAATGCGAGCTGCATCAAGCCTAGGGACAGTTTTGGAGAAAAAAACCACTGACTTTTCTTTGCTAACAGATTGACCAGACGCTGAACAGAAATCATCGAGGCAACGGTTAATGACACGAGCCTGGACCTTTGACCCCTCACCGAATAGTATAAGATCATCTGCAAAGAAAATACGGGAGAGAGCCGGTCCGTCCCAGGCTAGCATTTGGCCTCCACTCACCATTCGCCACTGCAACATTAATGAGGTGGCTAAGTCGTTCAATGCAGAGGGTGAATAAAAAAGGGGGACAACGGGAACCCTTGCCTGAGACCTCTAGTCGGTCGGAATTGCTCAGTCATTTCACTATTCCATAAGACCTGAAATCGATTTGTAGAGACACAAGCCATGATAAGAGAGATAATATCAGCCGGAATACCTGTGGAAGATAGAGTGTCGGCCAAAAATCCCAACGAATGCAGTCAGAACCCTTAGCAAGATCAATTTTGAGATCCATGTGTCAAGTTCTTCCCCAGTCATTTTCCATGGAGTGGGCTACTTCTTGGATGATGATGATGTTGTCAGTGATGTGTCGCCCAGGGACAAAATTGGATTGTGTGGGGTGGACCCAACCCCTCATGTGATGCTTCAAATGGGGAGTGAGAAGCTTAATAATAACTTTATAAGCAACATTACAAAGACTAATTGGCCGAAATTGCTTCGTTGACTCCGGTCGTGGCACTTTAGGGATCACCACCAAAAGGGTGTCATTGACCATTGCCACCTGAGAAGGGTTTTTAAAGCAATCAGTAACAAACATAACCATTGATTCACCAACCTGATCCCAGCATTTCTGGAAGAAGGTTGGTTGGAAGCCATCCTTTCCGGGGGCTTTCAAACTCCCCATATCCATGACAGCTTGCTTGACTTCATCAGGTGATGGAAGGAGTAGGAGGCGTCATCGTACATCGGCCGAGATGGGGGTGAAGCCGTTAGGAAGCTGGGCACCTAAGTTCCCAACTTCGTGGAAAAGATTAATAAAATAATCATGGGCCATGCAAAGAAGAGCTTGTTTGTCTTCAACCCAATTCCCTGTTGCGTCTTTCAGAGCAAGAACTTTGTTATCACACCTACGTTTGAGAGTAAGGAGGTGAAAGAAACAAGTGTTACGATCACCGTCTACAATCCACTGAGAAGTGGATTTCTGCTTCCAGAGAAGTGACTCTTGCCAAAGTGTGGTTTCCAGATCATGCCGAGTATCTTCTTCACGACGGCGGGAGAGGGCCAACCCACCACGTGAATTAAAGTCCTCTAACTCGGATAATTGCTGAATCAATGTCGCTTTCCGGATATGAATCAAATCAAACACATCTATGTTCCATCGTTGAAGCTTCTCACCCAAAGAATGAAGTGCATTATGTAACGGCATGTCTCGCCGCCAAGAGGATGCAAGGATCCGTGGAAAATCATCAGTGATAGCCAGGGAGCAAGAAACCGAAACGGACTTTTACCAGTGTGAGGCGGGTTTATACCAGAAGAGGATAGCAAGATAAGGCGATGATCGGACCGCACACGAGGAAGATGTTGCACCAAGGAGTGCGGGAAATGAGTGAGCCAGTTCTGCGAACCCAACGCCCGATCCAACTGTTCACAAAGGGACCCACGATACCAGGTAAATCCGGGGCCGGTGAAACCCAAGTCCATGAGGCGACACAAGTCAATGCAATTCTGAAAGGGTGTCGCATGAATCGGGTCAAACTCCGCACCCCCAATCTTTTACTCTGTTGAAAGGACGGCGTTAAAATCCCCCATTATTACCCGGGGTAATGTTTCTGTTCGTGCAATCACCCGGAGGATGTCCTAGAGAAAAGTGTGTCCCAAAGGTTGTGGACAAGCGTAAACAACTGTGAAGGCGAATTGGCTACCCTCATGAGCTGTCACACTCACATGAACAGTTTGACCAGTGATTGCCCTCTCTTCCACCGTGACTAGTGATGAGTTCCAAAGAAACCCGATACCCCAAGAAAAGCCACGAGCTTCCGAGATAATTCTACCATCAAAACCAAGTTGATTAATAATACGATGGCCAATGACTCTGATGATACGGGTTTCAAAGATAACAACAGTCCGTGGTCGATAACGAGACATATAATTTCTAAAGCTGGGAAGAAATTCATCATGCTTTGCCCCACGACAATTCCAAGTAAATATTGTACACAATACACATCATAAAAAAATATGTAAAGGTCTTCCCTGGTTAAGAGGAGGTATCCATGGGGCGCTCCCCATGAGCATTCCCAGGGGTTACAGACATCGAACCAGAAATAGATGAATCAATACATACCGGCGGCGGTGGCGAGGACATGTTTGGAGTCATTGTGTTTGAGGTATGCATGTGAGCATCCATGGTTGTTGAAGTTGTGGCAGTAGAAGTAGTAGACTTACCAAACATACCATCAACAAGGGACCCCCGTTTGAGTATGGAAAGAGGCACCGAACTATCTGATTGAGGAAGTTTGGGTAGTGAGGTATTAGCAGGAAATGTCTTTTGCCATGTTTGTGCTAACGTACCAGAAAAGTCATCCTTCTTTCTTGAACTCTGAGGATCACACATCCATATCTAAACTGATTTTAAATTATCAGATCCAAGCGGCAGATAGTAAGAAAAACAATGTTTTCCACGCTGGGAAACAACCTGAACAGCCATTGAACCAGGCTTTATCAGATGCATCTGACGATTTAGACCATTCAGATGACTCACTATTTACTGGTGATTTCTTGGGACATGCAACCGAGAGCGATCGTCGTCCGCCTATTTCATACCCGGAAGAAATTAGGAAATCAAATTTCAATACTGCGATCTGCCGGAAAGCTAATTTCATCAACCCAGAAAATTGTCTGCCGACCGAGAATTTGAACACGCAGCTAAAAATCTACAGGAAGTCTCAAAAGAACAAGAGGCGTCACAGCATGAGAACTAGGTCCCAATCGAGAGACTTCACATGGGATTAGCCTCCTTTTCCTTTAATTTAGTACTTTTATTTTTTCTTCTTTCTTGTACTTTTTTTTCTTTATTTCTTTCCTTTTTCGCATTGTACTCTCAATTTTATCAATAAAATCTCTGTTTTCTTGCTAAAAAAAGAACTCTGAGCATTCTTCTGCGGGCGGCCCTTCCTACGAGCAGTATTCAACATAGGAGTAGGCGTGGAAGATGAAATCAGATCAGGTTCAGATGTAGGCTTCAGATTAGGTGGAACTCGAGATTGTGTGTCCGCAGGAGGTGAAGGCGGTAGTCCAGGCTTAGCATGCATTCCAGGTTGCTTCTGGGCCTTCGCAGGTTTACTCTTATTTTTAGCCTTAAGCATCAGACCAGACGCCTGTGGAAGAGTGTCACCAGCAATGGTCGGAGAAAGAGTATTATCAGTAGGATGCCTAAGAAGCACATACTAGTGTTGGGAGTCTCAACCGTCGTACTAGTGGCATTTTTCCGGCATGTTTTGCGTCGACCGCGACGACCAGGGATCATCCACTCCCCCAAGTCATCAATAGGTTGCTCCAGCATATTAGAATAAAGTGAAGTGATCTCTGTCTCCATTTGCAATGTGGCTTCCGCACATGAATTTTCAATATGACCGTACCTACCACACTTCACACATAAGTTTTCGAGACTCTCATACCCAATTTTATGTTTAACTCCATCGAGTTCATACGTACCGATGAGAGGTTTGGAAAGGTCAATCTCCACACATGCACGTGCAAAACGTGCACGCTCGCCCAATGCAGTGGCAACATCAATTCGAATTACTTTTCCAACATGACCTGCACTACGTGTAATAGCCATCTCATGGAAGTAATGGAGAGGTAATGATGGAAGGTTAATCCATGATAAGATCTTTTGTACGGGTGCATGAACATCAAAGTCCGGAGTCCATGCCGATATAGCAAAGTAGTAATCAAAGATCTTCCATGGTCCTCCGAAAGCTGCCCGAAGATAGTCCTCTTTTGATGCAAAGTGGACAGAATAACACCGATTGGTCATATCAGAAACCTGAATTTCTCCCTGTTTTCTCCAAAGAGATTAGAGTCGCTTCTTCACCGCTTTCTCCAAAGAGAACTTTCTTTCAAGAACCTTCACTAACAGTGCCTTAGACCATGGTTTGTATAGCTCCCGAATCTCCTCCACCGAGAAAACAATCTGTGGGCATCTCGAGTTGGAGTGTGCGTTAGTAGTAGGCTGAACAGGAGGGGTAGCTTGGAAATTTCTTCTTCCGTAGCCACAAACCAGCCGGATTGATTGGTGGCAGCGGCACTAAATGAATAGGGCTGCTGTTTTTGCGAAGAAGAAAACTTGGAATTAGAATCTGGATGGTGGTTCAGTTGCAGGTCTCGCAATCCATCGGCAAAAATCCAGCCTTGTAGCAGCCCTTGCTCTCTTCCCGAGGAAAGACGAGCGCAACATCAGTCTTTGCAGAAAGGCATCCTGTAGGAGAACCTGTGGTCCCAGGCGGCGCTGGAATCGTAGGCTGGACTGCCCGGCTAGGGTCTGCAAGCGGCCGACATCCTCCTCCCCTGCGTTCAGCTGGCAATTGGTCGTAGAACTCCGATGCGCAAGTTATTGGACTGCTCGATGGAACCATCTAGAAAAGCCTTATCTTGTTTTTTACAGAAAATGCATCACAACCGACTTCTGCCAAACATCGAAATTGTCTCCATGAAGCGTTTCAGAGATGATACGCATACTGGCATGGTCGCTTGGATGCAGATAGTACGGAGATGAAGGATCATCAAGAGGATGCAAGGGTAACGTAGCAGAATGACTCATCGCATCAAAAAATTGAGCGAAGAACTAGGGTTTCATATGATGAAGATCGATTATAGAAATCGAGAGAAAAAAAGGTGAAATCATATGATAGAGATCGGAACCTAATCTGATACCATATTAACAATTTGATTACAAGAATCTGAAGAATTGATCGAATTGAGAAATCAAAGAGAGTAGCAGAAGAGATGAATATTACAGGGAGAGTCTGCGGAAGAAGAAAGAAGCTGAATATGAATTAATTAACCTAAAAATAATGTAAACCTATGGTATATATACCAAGTATAAAACAATACAAATAAGGCCCAATACATAAAGGCCCAATACAATAAAACATATCCAGAATCAGCAAATAAGTCTTGTTAACATGCTTGGATTGGGGCTGCTACCTGGTGCGACGGCGGCGCTAGGGTTGACGGCCGCGGTTCAACTCTTGTCCGCGACTTTGGCCCTCTGTTCGCGACTACGGAACTTTTTCCAGAGACCCTCAATACCAGGACCGTCTAATGAGTTTGGAGGTCCCGATTGTAAATGTAAAATCGAGGCCCCACATGAAAAAAATTGAAAAAAATATCAATCCAAATATTTATACTCAAAACAATTGAATAGTCATTAAAAAAGAACTAAAGAGTAAAAGAAACAACGAAAAAAATGATGGATCTATATTTTTCTTCCTTACTAATTGTATTTTGCTAATTAGTATTAATATATTTAATATTACTTCATATTAAAAGTTTGTCACGGCCAATATTCCGTGACAAACTTTGTCACAGATTTGTCACGGCGTCCGTCCGTAACAAAACAAGGCACTGGAGCAACGCGGTATATATTTGTCACGGATTCGTCCGTGACAAATGTTTTTCTATTTTTTAAATATTTCATTTTACCACGGATTTATCCGTGACAAATGTTTTTTTGAATTTATTTGAAATATCCGAAATGGGATAGGCGGGTAATTTGAAATTTTTTGAATTCAAATATTTTCATTTTGTCACGGATTTATCCGTGACAAATATTTTTTTGAATTTTTTTGAAATATCCGAAATGGGCTAGGTGGATAACTTGAAATTTTTGAATTCAAATATTTTTCATTTTGTCACGGATTAATCTGTGACAAATATTTTATATTTAAAAAAACAAAAAAAACTGCGCACTTTTTAATAAAAATTAAAATTTAAAAACTTTGTTTAAATTTTTATAGTAATTAAATTTTTATAATAATTAAATACTACAAAAACAATTTTTACAATCACATAATGATTAAACATTAATAACAATAATCATTAGAAATTCATACGATAACAATAATTTAATAAAAATTCAATTTCAAATTTCAAATAAACTAATTATTACAACTCCAGATTGACATCATCATCATCATTGTCATCATCATTGATGGAGTATATGGCCCGGGAACCTCCGGCCCACAGACTCCTACTACTCCAATAAAGGCCCAATAGGCCCAGGAAACACAACAGGCCCAAATCACGGCGCCCAAGATACCAAGCAGCCCACAAATGCGCACCAGGGGTGCCTTCGGCCCCCTGGCCGAAGGCTCTAACTTTCACAGGAGGGCCAAGACAGCAAAACAAAGTTACTGAGAAAAACGGCGAAAATCAGTAGCCCTCGGCACCTGGAGCCCTCGGCACCAAGGGGGTCCCCGGTACTCAGAGCCCTCGGCTAGTCCTCTACCGCCGAGGGCACCTTTCCCGACATGATATTCGCGCCACATGCGTACAAATCACCGTACCCTGTACAACGTCCCATCCAACACCCGCATTAAATGCGGCCACATGCGGTTGCCAGCGCCAACCAGTTGAGGTGACCTCTCGGCCAATGGACGCTTTACACATGTCCCTGTCTGGCATTTATTGCTACTATAAATAGCACCCCATTTCCCCATTTGTAACCAAGTCACAAGTCATAACACGCTGAATACTTTCTAATATACTTTCTCTCTCTATACTTACTTGCTCTGACTTCTCTCTAGTTATTCCCCGTAATAACCCCTCGGATAAGCTACCCCCCGGGTACACTATCCATCATTTGGTGCTCTCGTTGAGAGGTCGAACAATCAAGTAAGAAACCCTCCCCCTCGACCAAACACAAAACACCTAGCTAAAATGGTGAGAACAACTCGGGCCAACTCCAAGAATGTAGAGGACAGGAACCTGGCCCTCGGCGAGGTCGACGTCCCCGAAGCCTCCAACAGGGCTCCCGGGGGCGGCATCATCGCCAGGTTGGACTAGACGGCTGTCGACCTACGCCAGCAGATTCAACAAAATGCCCCTGATGCCCGCCTCGGCATCGAGGCCAAGAAGAAGGACCGGAACGAAAATCAAATTAGCCCTCCGGTCATCACCATCGACGTGCAATCGGCGCTCTCCGCCTTCATCCAGACGCTCACCCAGAACCCGGGTGCCTTCTGCACTTTGGTTCCCCTCCAACCTCAAGTGGGGGAAAATATAATGCCTCCCCCTCATCCACGACCCCTCGGTAACCCGGTCCTCCGGATGGGGAACTCCGAGGGAGTCGTGGCCCAAGATACGGCCTCCCAGGAAGTCCAGTCCCGGGACCGCCACAACGTGAACAAGGAACAACTCCGGACCTCCGCCCTCGAGAGATTCGGAGGGGCGCAAGACCGCCGAGGGGTCCAAGACCGCCGAGGGGGGAAGGCGTTCCAAAGACCTCAGGAAAGTGGCGGGTCCGTCTCCAGGGCCAATGAAAGGCGTCCCCTTAGGACAAAGGCAAGGCACCTCTCCATGCCAACGACGCACGCCACCAAATCAACCAGGCCCACTCGGCCCGGGTCCATTCGCAGGGGGCGGAGGCCCTCCCGAAGGACCCCCGGGACGAAATCATTGCGGCCCTCCAGCGCTGGCTTGACGAGATGGAGGCCAACAAAGCCCACGCCACCACTTCTGCCCCTCATACAGACCTCAAGTATGAGGCAATGATGGCCAAGATGGAAGAAATGCAGAAGAAGATAGCCGAGGGCTCCGGGGAACCCATCATACAGCTCCGGACCCGGACGCCATTTACCCCAAGGGTATTGGCTGCCCGGATCCCGGAAAAATACCGAGGGCAGCTCATCAAGCCCTATGACGGAAAGACTGACCCCCAAGAGCACTACAGCAGGTATCAAAACAGCATGATGATGGTGGGGGCATCGGATGAATATTTGTGTCGCTGGTTCCTCTCCACCCTAGAGGGGCCAGCTTACGAATGGTTCAATCGATTGCCCGAGGGCTGCATTGACTCATGGCAAGAACTCGCCCAGCGATTCTTGACGCAATTTGCGTGGAGGTGCCGCACAAGAAAACACTTCTCCCACTTGCTAACGGTGAGGCAGAAGAAGGAGGAGACCCTTCGGGACTTCCTGGAGCGCTGGAGGACGGAGGCTGATAAAGTTGATGGCGCTGACGACGGGACCCTCCTGGCCCTCCTACAAACAGTACTCTGCCCCGGGAACTTCTCGAGGAGCCTCATCATCGAACCCCCCCGCGATTATATAAGGGCCCTACAGCGGGGGGACCGGTACGCCAAGGCCGAGGAGGTGGAAAAATGCCATCATGTCCCAGATCAGCAACACCCTCGGCCAGACGACAAAGGTAACCGAGGGTCGGGGGCTCCCCGCAATCACCCCAAGGATTCTGCCCCCTCCGGTGATCGCCCCCGGCATGGCCAAGCCAAGCCTGGGGTTGGCTACAAGGGGAACCCGAGGGCTTGGGCACAGACTGTCCTCTTGGAGCACCCTCGGACACCGTTGACGCACCCCGTCAGCGTTATTCTGGATTTTGCTGAAGAAAGGGGCCTCGTGGAGCGAGATTCACGCGCGCCCTCGGAAGTATTTGCCGTCAATCCAAACTACCCCTACTGTCGTTTCCATCGACACCACAGGCACAGGACCGATGATTTCCATCAGCTAAAGACGGCCATCGAGAGATTAATACAAGCGGGTCATCTGCCCCAGTTTGTCCAGGGCCCTCAGCAACAGGCCCCCCCTCACCAGGGGCCTGCCCGTGGGCAAACTGCGAGAGCAAACGCATGGGTCAACCCCAACACCATCCCCCTCGGCAAAAAGAGGGAGATTGGAAATCTGGAGGAGGAGGAGGAGTACCCCCGGTATCAAGGAAAGAAACGCCACATCCTCATGATCACGTGGGGGAAATACCGGGGGTGATTCTACGAGTCAACGAAAGAAGTGGGCTCAATCACTTTACGTGGGGGAAGTCACTCATATGCCCCCAGTAAAGCGGCTGAGGGAGGAACCAATTATCTTCACTAACGCTGATCTCCCCCCAGTATCCTCCCCCCACAGGGATGCCCTCGTCATCCGCACAGAGATCAACGACACTATTATTCACAGAACTTACATTGACACGGGCAGTTCCGTCAATGTAATGTACCTCAGCACCTTCAGAGAGCTGCACCTGGAGAGGGGGTCCCTTCGGCCCATCAAGACCCCTCTTGCCGGTTTCACCGACGACACCATTGATTCCGAGGGGGTCATAACCCTCCCGGTAATCTTCGGCGACGGCCTCCATAGATCCAAGCTCGAAGTGGAGTTCGTCGTCGTCAACATCGACTGCGCCCACAACATCATCCTCGGCCGGCCAGCCCTCGAGGATCTCGAAGCCATCATCTCCATGAGGCACCTCTGCCTCAAGTTCCCAGCCGAAGGGGGGATTGGTTACTCAAGGGGGAACCAAAAGCTTGCCCGCGCTTGCTACCTTCAAGTTACAAAGAAGGTTAGCAAGACGGAGTTCCGCGTTGACACCATCACCGGAACTGTGGAAGCGGAAGAAAGGAGGCCGAGGGCTGAACCAGCCGAGGAGGTAGAAGACTTCGCGCTCGATCCGGCCAAGCCGGAGAGAGTCGTGAAGATTGGAGCCAAGCTCCCCGAAGACCTGAAGACCGGCATCATCAGCGCCCTCTGCGCCTACTCCATTGTTTTTGCATGGGGGCCGGAGGACATGCCGGGGATCAGCCGAAGGGTCATCACCCACCGCCTCTCGGTGGACCCTTCGGCCAAACCAGTACAGCAGTGGAGGAGACCCCTCTCGGCCGAGAGGAGGGAATTTGTGAAGAAGGAGGTCGTCATGCTCCTTTCTATCAAACACATCGAGGAGGTCAAGTACCCCTCATGGCTGGAAAACGTAGTCCTCGCGCAGAAACCGCCCTCATTCCGCATGTGCGTGGACTACACGGACCTCAACAAGGCGTGTCCCATGG